TATCAATGGGGTCCCATCCCCATGACCTCAGCTAAACCTCATCACCTCCCGAATGCCCCACGTCCGAAGACCATCACATTGGGGGTTAGGGCTTCAACATACAAATTTAGGGGAGAACACAAACGTTAGTCTAGAACAGCGTCTCTACAAAGAAGGACTAACCAGTTAAAAAGTATTATAATGTATCCAGTGCAACAGGTCTGTGCTGAAATGTGTCATTTTTGTTTTTCTTTCTGCCCGTCTTCTGTTGGATCTTGCTAGCAGACATCCAGGCTCATTCTCCTGCTACGAGAAACTCAACCCATCCTCCCTGGGACTTACATGCTTGAGCACTGTGACAGGAGAACCAGGTGTAGGAGAAAATTCTGTGTTGCAATAGAAAAATTATGCACCATCTGCAACACAGCTTCGTGGGTCTTCAGGTTCTAGTCCTGTTCAGTTTTGTCCCTGTGTGCAATGCATCTCAACATTCCTTTTGCTGCTTTGAGTTTTCCTTGGAATCGGTTATAATGTCTGCCTGGTTTTCCCAGATCATATGAGTAAAATAAATTCCTCAACAGGTGTTCATTTTAACAGCTGTGCTGAGAGTCACGAGTTTGCCTTTTTCTGAAGTGTATCTTTTACCACAGAGAAGCCTTTGGGAGGAGAAGCGGCAGGACCCAGCTGAATCTCGGAGCCCGTGTCTTTCCCATCTTGGGTCATAACCGCCCCTCCCTCCAGATGCTGGAGCCCCCAGACGTTGAGGCCATTCTTGGCTTTTCTCTTTCTAGCACCTCCCGCCTCATGGTAGGCTGAATAATGGTCCTCCAAAGACATCCGCATCCGAGTCCCTGGAACCTGTGAACATGTTACCTCACAAGGCAAAAGGGACAGGTGTGATTAAAGTAAGGATACTGGGATGGGGAGATTATCCTGGATTATTGAAGTGGCCCCCATATAACCACAGGGAAGACAGGAAGGGCCAAAGTCAGAGAAAGGAGATGAGAGAATGGAAGAAAAAAGTGGGGTCATGCACTTTGAAGATGGAGGAAGGGGCCATAAGCCAATACCCCAGTCAAGCAGCCTCCAGAAGCTGGAAAAGGCAAGGGAACAGACTCTCCCATGAGCACCTCCAGAAGGAAGCAGCCCTGACAACATCTTGATTTTAGCACCAAGACTCTTTTCGGACTTCTGACCTTCAGAACTGTAAGAGAATAAATCTGTGTTGTTTTAAGCCAGTAAATTGGTGAAAATTTGTTATACAGTAAGAGGAAACTGATGCAAGTACCAAAGCAAATTATGCTGGGTTTATCTTCAGAGTGCACCCAGGTTCTGACCACCTCTCAGGGGTGCCCATGGCATCCTGGGCCAGGCCAGCGGCACCCCTTGTCTGGGTTGATGCAAAGGCCTGCTTACTGGGCTCCCTGTCTACCCTGGCCCTGCAGCCTTTTCTGCCCTCTGGGGTGCAGGAGATGAGATTTCTATATGCTGCCCTCTGGCCTTCACTCTTGGCATTGCCTTTCTCTGATGTTTCAGTGTCTCAGCAGCAGCCGAATGCATTTCTGCTGTCCCTCTAATTACTATACATGCCCTCTAAAGTTCTGTTCCATTGCAACCACTAGGGAATCCTCTTCCTCCACGTAGCATCGCAGTTCTCCACCAGTGAGTTTTGACAGTTGCACTGCCGCAGCTTGCCAGGGGCTATGCAACGGGGTTCTCACTGCCAGCTAGCTCAGATGACCAGCTCCCAAATCCCGTTTCCAGAGTCTGCTTCTGGTATCAGCTTTCTCAGGTCAGATTCCCTAGGACTCAGGTGCTGAGTTGCAGATTTGCCGGCAGGAAGTTTTCTGGGGAGTGCTCATGGGATCAAGCCCTGAGGTTAAGGAGAGGAGAGGGACTCCTGTGAGGAGTGGAGTCCATAGCTGAAGAGCAGTGCAGTTGCAACAAAGGTTGCAGTTGCAACAAAGGTTGCAGCCACAACAGGGGTCACAGCTGCCAATCCTGTGAGGAGCTCTGGGGCTGGAGCAGCTCTTCCGAGTTGTCTGCATGTGGGGTGGGAGGGCCAGGCCTTTATGTCCCTTGGTTGGGGAGTCACTGACTGTGGTTGGCTCCCGGAAGTGGGTGCAACCTTCGGCAAGGCAGTTTTCTTTGGCCCTGAGCAGCCAGTGGAGGGACACTCAGCTGAGAGCTTTCAGCCACCAACATTCTCAGTAGTTGGGTGGATGAGTTTGAAAGGGGTGAAGGGGCAGGACTGGATGTCATCTATCACAGAGATAATAGCTCTGACAGATTTTATCACAACCCTGCTTACATTCCTCCAGGTACTTACAATAAAATTCATGGGCAATACCCCCTGCGTTTTCTGGCTATTGATTACCTCTGACATTATCTAACCGTGCCCCACAGCTCACTGTGCTGTCCTATTAGCCTTCTATTCATTTGCCCAACAAATACCTATTGAATATTTTCTACGGACTAAACAATGATCTGGATCCGGGGTCCTGTGGCCCACAGGCCAAATGATGCAGCTGCCTGTTTTTATAAATAAACCTTTGTTGGAGCACCTATTTTAAAAAATATTCTCTATGGCTGTTTTCACGCTACCCTGGCAGAGTTGAACAGACACCATACAGCCCACAAAGCCTAAAATATTTACTATTTGATCCTTTACAGAAGATGTTTGCAGACATCTCTTCTGAATCAGTGATGAAATAGAAATATATGTATATGCATTTATTGCAAGCCTCAGATTTGAGCCACATATGTAATTTTACATTTTCTAGTATCCACATTAAATAAGTTTACAAAATGGAAACAGGTGAAATACATTTCAATAATGTATTTTCTGTAACCCAGTGTAAACCCACGTTTAGTTCCTGGAGTGTGCATTTGTATGAATTCTACTGAACAGCCAGGGATATAAACCCTCTTTTAATATGTTTCAACTTGTAACCAATATAATACAGTATTTATGAAATACTTTACATTCCTTTTTTTTTTTTTAACACGATGCCTTTAAAATTCTGCGCGTAGCTTACACTTAATGCATTATCTCAGTTTGGGCTAGTCACTCTTCGCGTGCTAACTTGCTGTATGTGGTCAGTGTTCCAGTATCAGATGGTGTGATTCTGGGAGCAGGTGATAGAGCAGTGAATAAAGCAGACAACCCCCCCACCCTCCGTAACGTACATTCCTAATGGAGACTAGAGATGACGCACAAACAGATAAAATGATCTTTGCGCCTGATGGTGTTAAGTGGTGACATGGATTCTTGGAGCGGAAGTTGCATGTTTAAACTAGGGAAAGTCACGCTGAAGAATTCACCTTACCCAGAGCGGGGTCTGGCTTTTCTCTTGGCTCCTGGTTGGTGTCTCTAGGCCCCTGTAGGGCATGTCTTTGTTTGCCTGGGGAGTTTGGCCACTGGACAGCCTAAGCAGTGTGACTTAAGATGGGGGCTTCTGACCTCCAGCTCCTCCGGGAAGGGCTGGGGACGGCAGGTCAGCTACATGGGCAGCATGTGACCAGAACCTACTAAATATTCCGGTCACCAAAGGCTCGAGTGACCTTCCCTGGTTGGCAACACCGTGTGTGTATTGTAACATTTTGTGACTGGGAGGAGGTAACGCAGCAGCTACGGCTCCACAGGGAGACGGCAGGGAGCTTCTGTTTAGGCCCCTCCTGGACTCTGCCCTGTGCCCTTCCCGTGGCTGAGCTCACCTGTATCCCTTCCCAGTAATAAACCATAGCCGTGGCTCAGTCTGCTTTCAGGGAGTTCTGTGAGTCCTTCTAGGAAATTATCAAACCTCAGGGAGGTTTGGGGGAGACCCCTGAACTTACAGAAGTAAGGGTGGTCTCTGGTGGGGACAGGTAGCCTTCAGTGCTGTGTGGATGGTGGCGTCTGAGTAAAGACCTGAAGGAAGTGAGGGGACAGCGGGAGGCCAGGGGGCTGGAGCAGGGGCCGGCAACGGGGAACGTGGAAGGAGATTCCTCCTGTACTCACTATTTTGATAAACCACTTTGCACAGGGGCCAAAATCTCATGTTTTAAAAGTACAGCATGTGGGTGAAGGTTTAGGGTAAGATTTAGGCTGGGGTTGGGTATTGGGATTAGGGTGAGCCTGAGTGCTTTCTTTTGTTTGGTCTAGGATTAGAGTTGGGCTACGATTGGGTTTCGGCTTCAGTGTTCAGTACTCAGTGTTAGGACATTTATGGTTGTCGTTAAGATGAGTGCTCCGGCTGGGCATAGCTCATGGAATTCGATACTACTGACCACGTTTAGTTCCTGGAGTGTGCATTTGTATGAATTCTACTGAACAGCCAGGGATATAAACCCTCTTTTAATTTAATGACAGAAATCAGGGGGAGAGTATAGCGCAAGTGGTAGAGCCCATGCTTTGCATGCATGAGGTCCTGGGTTCAAGCCCCAGTACTTCCATTAAAAGTAAATAAATAAGTAAACCGACTTACCTGCCCCCTTTAAAAAAAGAAAAGAAAAGAAATCAGCTGAGCATTGTTTTAGAGTTAGGTTGAAGAAAATGTGTAACCTGAGAAATTATGCCATATAATTCAGCCAAATGAAAAATAAATGAAAATGAAGCAAACTTTGGAAATAAAGAGGTGTTTATGTATAGAGCCATGGTGAACAATGAAACTGGTTATAAATAGTTAAATCTAAATATTTTTGATGAAATGAAAAAGGAAGAGGTTTGGTGTGAAAAATTCATAAGGAAGTAAGCATGCCTTTCTTTCAATACTTCAAGCCATGTGGGAAGAGAAAGGGGAGTAAACCTCTGGCCTAGAATTTCCCTTTATTGTTCTTCTAAGATGGATTCACCAGCTCTTGCCTTTTTCTTTCTCTGTTTATTCCCTTCTTTTGTTGGAATACATCCTGAATAAATGGATGGTGTGTTTATTCTACCCCCATGCTGCGTTGGTAATGGGCCTCTAGAACTTTGAAGGCTTGGTTTTTGTCTTCTAGTCCCTGGGGTTGCTGATGACCTTCCGGTGTTCCTTCTTTTGCAGGTGACAGCTTTGACTACTGCTACCAGTTGTGTTTTCACACCAAAGCCTCTTCGTTCCTGGTTCTGAAACTTGGCCACAAGAAGTGTCTGGTTGTGGACCTTTTCCATATAGTCTACTCGGCACGTGGAGGGTGCTTTCCGTCCGAGGAGCATGTCTTCAGTCACCGAATTAATCCAGACCCTCAATTCACGTATGAGTGGACAACCACTAGACACCAGACATTTCTGCAGAATCAACAGCAAAACTGAGAAGGATCAAGATGAACAAACAGGAAAAAATATATATATATATATTTTGGGGAACTGAAAGTGAGAAAGCACCGACTGGTCTCCTCTAAATCCATGTGAGTCCTGAAACCCCATTGAGGGCTGTTCGGTAGTCATCCTTCTTTTCCCTATTCACTCACTCCCTTCTTCCTTTAGATGATGATTTTCTATCTCTGCCTCTCTTTTTGGGCCTCCCGTGTGGCCTTCCCCAACCTCACCCCCAGCTGATTACCTCGACTTCCCTGAGAATTAAAAGAGTCAGAAGAGAATTCTCCAAAGTTCCCATCACCTGATCTATCCAATTACTCGGTCTGGTGCTGTGTACTCTGTCTTCCTCCCTATTATATATGGAGCAATTGTCCCTACTAAGCCCAGCTCCTTCCAACGCTCCCTGTCCCACCCATCCCTTCTCTCCTCCTTAAGGACATAGCTTCCCCACTCTCTCCGGCATCATCTTCCCCCCAGTCCCGCCTCCCACTGGATCACTCCCATCAACCTGCAAACATGCTGTTATTTTTCACATCTTAAAAGACAGTAAATAATCCTCTGCTTCCACCTCTGGCTACTGCCTTTCTTCCTTCCTCCCTCTGCAGAGAAACTTCTTGGAAATCCTACCTACACTTGCTGCCTCCGGTTCTTCATCTCCTATTCTCTCTTAATCAAGATTTTACTCTCATCATTCTACCAGAACAAATCTTGTCTCCGGGACTCAGACCATGAACCTTTTCTCTTTTTAATTGACACTCATCATGAACTTCTTTTGTCTCTTTAGAGGCCATCTGTATACAGTATCTACATCCCTAACTTCTCCCCTCTGATCTCAAGACTCGTGTATTTAAATGCCAATCTAATATCTCCCTTCAGATGTCAAATAGGTACCTCATGCTTAGCAAGTTCAAAGCTGAGCTTCTGAGTTCCATCCCCCACCAAGTAGCTCCTCCCCCAGTCCTCCCCCTCCCCCAGTAAATGATAAGTCAGGTCCCCCAGTGCTCCGAGGACATGAGAATCCTTTTTCCTCACACGACACATCCCATACATTGTATACTATATATCTGTAGATACCCGGAATGTGACATCTGGTAATCACCTCCAGCTGGCCCACAGGCTGCAATTATTTCATACCTGGACCTTCTGGAACAACCTCCTAACTGGGATAACCAGCTCCTCCCAGTTTGCCTTGTGCTTTCGCAGTTTTCAGTTTTCACACTGAAAGTCCCGTCTCAGAACCCCCAGCTCTGAGGGAAACCAGGGTAGTTTTTCACTCTGCTTCTAACTGGGCTGTTTCTTCTGTGACCTTCCTACGGTCTATTCTCAATGGAGCTAGGGTGATTCTTTGGAAAGGCAAAAGAAGATTTTTTTATTGAGGTATAGTCAGTTTACAATGTTGTGTCAGTTTCTGGTGTACAGCACAATGCTTCAGTCACACATGAATATACATATTTTGTTAGTAAAACAAGAGCAGATGGTTATCGAAAAATTGCAAAAAAGAGTTCTAGGAAATTATAAACATCAGTTAAATTGAAAAAAAATCAATAGTAGGACTGAGAGATAAAATTGCAGAATCTCTTTCTGGGAATACTAATGATAATCAATAAACAGGCAAAATACATAAAATTTACTTAAATGTTATTTAAAATACAAAATATATAAACATATATTTGCAACATGATGTCCTAAAGTCCCCAAATCTCCATTGTGTATCTTCCCAAACCAAGGCCACCCTTCTACATAACCTGCATACAACCCTCCAAATCAGAGAATCAGAAATCAGCACTGGTATAACACTGACATTATTCAGATTTCACCAATTATCTCCACAATGTCCCTTTCCCGTTTGGTCCAGGATCACACTTTGCACTTAATCATCACATCTCTTTTGTCTCCTTCAGTCAGGAACAGATTCCTAGTCTCTCCCCATCTTCACAACCTCCATAGTTTTAAGGAGTACAGGTCTTTGGTTCTGTGGGCTAGAGCTCAGCCTGGTTCCATTGATGCTTCCTCAGGGCAGGACTCAGACATGCGTCCTTGGGAGGAATACACAGAAGCGGTGCTACACTCTCCTCGCTGCATCGCGTCAGGAGGCTCATGATGTCGACCTGTTCTACTGCTGGTAAGGTTCATCTCCATCACTCGGTCTGGCGTCTGCTAGCTTTCTCCACAGTTAAGTCCTTATTGTCCTGTTTGTAATTGGTAAGTATTTTGTGTGAAATGTACTCTCAAACTATGCCAATATCCTGTGTTTCATTAAACCTCCATTCATTTGATTTAATAGCCATTGATGATTCTTGCCTGAATTAACCACCTTTAACGGTGGTTACCAAATGGCCATTTTCTGTTACCACCACTCCTGCTACACTAATTAGTTGGCATTCTGCTGCTGAACTAAACTTGGCTCCGTTTGCCCACATGCAGTAAAGCCAACCTACTGACCCGGGGTTGTGGTGAAGGAAAGTGCAGCATTAACTGCAGGAGCCAAGTGAGGAGTCCAGGGCAGCTAGTGCTCCAAAGACCTGAACTCCCCAAAGGCTTTCAGGGAAAGGTTTTTAAAGACAGGCGGAGGGAGGAGAGTTGTGGCGTGTGTGATCAGCTCAGCGACGTTCTTCTGATTGGTTGGTGGTGAGATAATTGGGAGTCAACGTAAAAGCTTTTGGTTCTAACTGGTCTGGGGTCTCCATGCTTGTGGTCAGCATACAGTTAACTTCTTTCACCTGGTGGAGTTTTCAGTATCTGTAAAAGAGCTCAAGGATATGGCTCAGAATATTGTCTATAGCCCTTGATGGGGAACTAAAGGTCTTTGACTTTGTTTAATGGCTAAACTAGTATTATTTTTTTGTCTTGCCTGACTGTTTTCCTTTCTTTCTACATGTTCTCACTTCTTGGATTAAATGCACTTTTTTGGAACTTGGGGAAGTCTAAGAGACTAAAGTGTTTCTACAGGCAAGAGGCAGGTGGAGGGCATGGAGGGGGCAGGTCTGTCCCAGAATAAAGTCCTGCTTGATTACAATTCTACTATAAAGAAGAGATGTCCCTTTTCCTTCATTTACTTATATCAGTTTAGGCTCATGGATTCCTATTTTATTCAATAGATTTAATCCATTATTATCATTATATCAAATCATTTCAGATTTGGCTAGCAGGAGAACCTCATCAAAATTGGCTCCTGTGACTTGTAGCTATGTCCCCATAGTTTTTGAAATGATTCTTTACTTTCTGGCATAAGAAAATGTTCCAGGCTCATCTTGTAATTTCCCTGCCTCAGCCTTGGAATCGACTATTTCTCCAAGGAGTCCTGGAGTGGAGAACGATATTTGGAAACTAAAGTTTGGATATTCAGTTGCTTGTTGATTCTGTGGTGTCATCGATTGTAGGCCTTCTCTGTATGCAGACTTAGGACATGTATGCATGTACACATATGTGTGTGTTGTGTGTGTGTACTCTACATACAACTATTTCTGTATCTATCTCGATAGATTTTAAAGGCCCATGCATTTGCCCTGGTACCTCCAGTTCCATTGACGGTTATTTTTATCCTTTCCCCTTTCCATATATGTAAATCCCTCTCTGACAACAGGAAGAGCTTTCATTATCTTCTGTATGGTTATTTATGTACTCAGTCTCACTGTTGGTAAGTAATGTCTACCATGCTGGTCACCTCCTTGGCTCCCAAGCCCTCTGCTGCTACCTTTGTGGCTGCAACCACCCCTAAAAGAAGCAGAGGGAAGAGACAGGGAGGAGAGGAGAGGAGAGGGGAAGGGAAAGGAAGAGAAAACTAACTTATTCTGAAGGAGGGAAGGAAGGAATATGCATTTTAAGTTCCTTTTTAAACATTATTTGGGGGGGAGAAAAACCCTTCTGGAAGTTTTTCTTTACGGTATGAGGCAGAATCTCCCTCAATCTTCTCCCAAGCATGGGAGTCAATTACATTTGTTGAAGAATCTGTCCTTTCCTCTACTAAAGTCACAGTTCCTTTGGCTGTGGTTTGTGTAAGGATACAACTCAAGAATGCAAGGATAGAGATGAGGCCAAGATGGTGGAGTAGTAGGACGCTCGTAGCTCACCCTCTCCCACAGATACACCAAGACTCACATCCATGGACCCACTCAGCCAACCAGAGCACCTGTGGAACTCTGACAGAACATTGTCCTCTTCAAAAGACAAAGACACCAAAAATCTGTTTTATTCCTACATAGGCATTGGATAGATAAATAAATAAACTCCTTTAAGGACCACAATAGATAACTGATACTCCATAAGCTACAGTGCCAGAGAGATATGAGCAAGATGAAGAAGCAGAGAAACCATTCCCAATTAAAAGAACAAGAGAAATACCCTGAAAGAATGACCAATGGAATAGACATCAATAGCCTACTAGATCAAGATTTCAAAAAAGAAGTGATCAAAGTATTGAAGGAACTAAAAGAGATAGTGTTTAGAGATATAAAATATGTCAAAAATGAAATCAAAGCTATAAAGAAGAGCCAAGTAGAATTGGTAAACTCATTGGCTGAGATGAGAATGAAGCTAAAGGCTGTGCAAAGCAGACCAGATAATGCAGAGGAACGAATTAGTGACCTTGAAGACAGGACAACAGAAAGCACCGAATCAAAACAACTGCAAGACAAACAAATAAAAACAAATGAAAGCAACATAAGGGACCTATGGGATAATATAAAGTGTGTCAATCTTCGCCTAATAGAG